AAATCAATAGCGTCACACGAGAACATTTATTCATACATTTCAATCCCAGCAGTAATAGTAGTAATATTCGTTATATTATAAAAATATAAATACATATTGTAATATTTTTGCACCAATGCAGTAGCCTACATCGAATATCTGAATAACCTGCTGTTAAACAACTAATGAGTTGTAATAACCTTTGCAAAATAATATAATATTCATATTAATATTACATTTTCAATTGACCGGTTTACAATACCCTCTTTAAACTCTTAATTCTTTCAGATTATTTTTGGCATCACATGTTTCCAATGTTTAGAAATAAAATATAATTGTGCTTGATGTACAAGGGTTGGGATATTTAACAAATCGGTATATGGTGATGTTCAAAGAGAAACATCACACTTCTAAATCATGATGTTAGCTATTATAAAATACATTTTGTACAACACACATTTTATGAATATAATCAGTTATTCTAGATGTGCAATCACTCACAACAACCCAATACTGTAATGTTGTGTATACGACAAATAAAGACTTCAAATTGGATGAGGTGTAATGTTTGATACATATATATCTTTTAAGAGATTTAGTCAATATTGTACTGTACGTGTGAAAATAAGAAACTTGCTTGTTCTGTTGTACGATTTACTTGAGTGTAGTGATTGGTTCAGAGACGTGAGTCGGAGCCTCACATTGAAGCTGCATCGGTTGGCATGGGATTAATGATATACTGTAGCTCTGGCCCAAAAAAAGAAAACACTGCCATTGTTTCACGCTGTTCATTATAATTAGCTTTAGATTGCCTCTGTGTTCTCTGAGGGCATGAAGGCATAGAGCTGCCTTGAGTTTTAACCTCACTGATGGTGTCAACTGCTTTTCATTAGGCTTGAATACAAAGAAATAATATAAATTAAATGTATACCAATGTGCTTGAAAAACAAAAAAGTAGGTTTAGTGTCACAAATATGCCCACCACCAGTGACCAGAAGCCACTTTCTTATAAGCCAAATAAAACATAGATAAAGTAAATAAGTGCAGGCTGTTCTGTTACGAACTCAGACACTTAGGAGGTAGGACCCAATTGCACGACCCGGGAGACAGAGGTAAAGTATTTATAAGATACTTTATTTTTTCAATAACAGCAAAAATGATCAACAAAAAATGGTCTCTACAAAAATGGAGAACAAAATGAAAACGCTCACATAGTGAGGATTAAAGCTTTCACAAGAGCACTTAGAGAGCATAGATCTGACTGTGGCAAAAGACAAGAGCAAGATCTGACCATTGCACTATACAAAAAGCATAGACCTGACAAAACGAACTGACACTGAACACTGGAAGACAGGGGAATTTAAACACATGACAATAAGACACAGGTGGGAACAATCAGGGGCGACAATTCGTCCTCCGACACCACGTACCCCTTTCGTCAATCTGTACTCATGCTCAGGGTCGACCTACTGTCTATTCCACAGAGGCTGATACTGTCTAACTAAGGACCTATTAGGACACGATATACGCGCGTGCTCTTAAGGAGTAAATAGTGAAGATATTCCTGTTCACTATCGTAGCGAGCCGTTAGCACAGACACAGTTGTTTGATTTAATTCTTATATCTCTGAATGCTCACCCTATCATAGATTTTATTATTACGTTAAAAAAGACGATTGTACGACAAATTGAAGTTCCCGCTTACCGGTCCTCCCTTCTATTACCGCACGGCACTGAACACATACCTTTATTATGAAAAGCTCCTGTTGACTGGAGACAATACTACAATTTGCACAGTGCTAATAATAAGTACAGTACCAACGCACAAGAGGGACACAGTAACAATAAAGAAGGAAAGACAAATAACCAGACTAGAACTGGACACAAGAAAGTGGCTAGACAGCAAATCAAAGACACCAATCGGACGTACAAAAGTGGACAGTAGGGAAGACCCCAGAGGACACGGAGTAGTCGAACCTCTTCACCTCGATGCTCGCAAAAATACTGAAAACAAAAGTAATAATGAAGCTCAGCGCAAGTTCAGACAGGAAGACCTATCACTCGTATTGCACGTCATGGCAATACTCGCTCCCTTCACTAAATGATAGGGAGCGCCACTCCTCAGCAAACCTATCACGTCCCTCCATTCACAAGCCTAATCATCGCACCTGGTAATCCCTCTATATATGCTCTCCCCTTTTCCATCAGCTGTCTTCCAGGTGTCAACGCGCAAGCAGCAGCAGGGCTTCGTCCCAGCTCCGGGATATATATTCATCAGCTCCGCAGTCTTGCGGATTAAGCTACAGGCGGCGTTCCCCAGTTGGCTGGCGGTTCTAGCCGGCCACCCCGCAAACCCGGACGCGGAAGGAAAAGACAAGGATACTGGGCTCCACGGAAGTTCCTCCGGCTTAATGGAAACGGGCTACTCCAGGCAAACAATTGACACACGCCTTCAGTCTCTCGAGAGGGCATCACTGGCATCAGGGCCGCTCAAATGCGGCGCTTCCTGCCTTCACGCGGAACGGGCCCTCATCGCTTGCGAAGCTTCACCCACCTCCGCAGCCACACTAATTTCCACAAACGCCCTGCGCGGGTCACTGCGAGGTCTGATACACGTAGACACAGCCCCCCCGGACCAAGTATTATTGTGCGGTAGCTAAGATCTTCGCAGTTTCGCGTCGTAATTTTTCGTGAAAATCCCCCTGTGTTTGTCACCGACGCAGGTGATGGGGGGGTGGGCAATTGTTTGACTACCCTTTTCCCCGTTTCTCACACTAATTGTGCACAAACCGCCCTGGGCGTCCACTCCGACGGTCTGATTACACGAACACAGCCCCCGCGACCAAGTCCTATTGTGGGTAGTATGTAAATTATGCGTTTCGTCGTAATTATTCGTGAAAATCCACCAGGCCAGGCGACCGGTTCGGAAGTTCTCGAAGTATTCAGAAAGTAGGGAGCCGCGTAGTGGAGTGACAACGGTGGGTCATTGTGGCTTTTGTCACCGACGCAATTGCGAGTGAAACGCAATTGTCGTCGACTACCTGTCTATGGATCACCTGGCGCGTGGAGTTGTTTGCGGACACTCGGCGCCGCGCGCGGGCTAATTTCATCGAAATCTGCGTCGCCTCTGCGATCGCAAGGTCCTCACTCTACCCATGCGAGGTCTGCAGTATATAACACGCGCTACTACCACCACCGGGTGCACCTCGCGCGCGCGCGCCGGACGTTCGGACCAAAGTACTGCCCCAAGCACTATCTCCATGTGGACTGTATCCGGTAAATTTTTGCGCGCGCGCGCGTATCTCTGGTGC